TTTGAAGCTCTTAAGACATTACAAAATGTTGACGGACCAAGTATAGAAGAATGCAATTATATTTTGAATGAGATGTAACTTTTTAAAATGAGTGATCCACTGTATTCTGTTGCGTGTAGTATTTTTTGTGAGAGTAAATCACGCATAGAATAGTGGATGTTATTACATCAAAAACCAGAAGTAGTTAGAAAGACGTGTATAGAAATGAATGACAAGAAACTAAAGTTGCTTTGAATTTTAGGAATTACTAGAAATATGAGTATTATTTTTATAGGAAGAATTTATGACTATTTTGATTGTGAAAGATTGTTTAAATTTATTTATTTTATAATTTTTGCAATAGTTTCAATAAATATATTATGCATTGATGGAATTGTTATTGTTGAAATTGTCTGTAGTGATTTTTGAATAATAATTGTATTGGAAGTTGAAATACATAGTTAAATTGTCTTATATTAAACTGATTAGATTTTATTAATATTATTTAACAACATATTGTCTGAAAAACAAAAGTGTGCATTGAAAGTTGTTGTAACTTCTTTGACATTCAAAATATTGACGAAAAAACGTGTTAGATGGAGGCCAGACACTGATGATTTGCTTTGTGGGTATGAAAATCCAATCATTGTCAAGAGACGTTAAGGATGAAAAGAGAAGTTTTTATAAGTTTATGTGGTAATTTTTGAAATAGAGGGTGACTTGAAGATAGTCGTTATGTATCCATAGAAGAAAAGATGACAATGTTTCTCATAACATTGAGTCATAACATACGAAATCATGTTGTGAAACAAAGATTCAATCATTCAACACAAATAATACATAAATATTTTCATGAAGTATTATATGCTATGCTCCATTTTTCAAAAGAGATGATTATTCCAACAACTACAAATTCAATTAATCACATAAGTTATCATCGTCGGCTCAGAGGAATAATTAAGGTATTTTTTTCATTTTATTTTAATTTCATAGGATATATAATGATTAATAGCTTTTTAAAACTCTCACATTTATACTAACATATCTATTTTTGAAAGGGTGAGGTGGGTGCACTTGATGGAACTCTTATTTTTGTTGTTATACCACCAGACGAACAAGTTCTATACAGAGAAAGAGGCAAAGGAAAATGTTTCAAAATGTACTTTTTATATGTGATTTTGACCTTGTGTTCACATTTGCCTGGGCAGGTTGGGAAGGGGTAGCACATGATTCAAGAATTCTAAAAGAAACTATGAGTGATGCAACTAATAATTTCTCAATTCTTCCTCTAGGTTAGATGAAAATATTTAATTAATGTTACAAAATATTTATGTAGATAATTTATTTTATATTATTTGTGTAAATAGATACTTTTTTTGTGATGCAGCATATACATATAACCATGAATTTTTGTCACTTTATCGTAATGTGCAGTATTGGTTGTCTAATTTTCAAAATTTTCGTCCAAGAACAAAAAAAGAGTTATTCAACTAAGTACATGCAAAGTTAAGAAATGTGATTGAACGTGCTTTTGGAGTATTAAAAGCTTGTTTTCGATACTAAAAAAAATGCCATCATATTCTTTTGCTGTACAAAGGAATATTGTAATTACTTGTATAAGCATACATAATTTTATCTGGCGAACCCGTATCACGGATACTTTTTTGGAGCAGTTTAGTGATGTCAATGCTGCTTATGAGAATCTCCATCAAAATTTGCATACTTCAACTACTTGGAAGCTGGAGGAGGAAGGACACAAGCTGATCAAATTTTTATGCTCAATTTGTGTAAACAAATTGCACGACAACTAAACTCTTCATTTGTATACTAGTTGTAATTTTTGAAATTTATGACAATTGGTAGCTATAAGTGATAAATTTAACTTAAATTAATTTTATTATCATGTTTGTTAAATGTAAACTACAATATAATAATAATGATTATTATTTATGTTATGAATTAAATTGATTTGATATATTGTCATTTTTTATTAGATAAAATCATATTTTATAAATATTTTTAAATTAAAGAGTGGAATGGTAAAACTGAAAATTAATTTATTTTAAAACTTCAGCTCTATATAGTTATCAAACAGTTTAGTTTAATTCAGTACTTAGATTTAAGTGGATATCAAAACAGTCCACAAATTCAGCATTCAGCTTTCAATTTTCAGATTTCAACTTTCAGTTTTCAGGTTTAACAAACACAACCTTACTCTCTATTTTATCATTAATGAATAAAAAGGATAACACCTCTACCTTTTTTTTTATTAAATATTATAAAAGCTATTTTTTTATTAGAATAGAGAGTTTTTGAAGAGTCAAATTCACTCTATATTCTATCATTAATGAATGAAAATATCACACATATATATTTTTTATTAGCTGCTTTGAGTATATAAAATATTTTTTTTACCAAAATAGAAAGCTTAATTGGGATTGTTCAAAAAAATTACTATTTTAATTTTTCATTAAAGATGCTCCATATTTTTAAAAAGATGTTCTCGAAAATATAGAGTACTATGGGAGATAGTTTTACACCATCACTAATGAGGATAACCTATAATGTTTTTTTTTTCTATTATTTTTAAAACACTACAACCACAACATTTAAAAATAATCATGAGCATAATATGGATCTTATTTGTTAACTTTATTTGCTGATCTTATTATTCTCTGTCATTAAATTGACAATATACTCCACTATTAGTTAAGACTCACTATTAATTCAATGATTATGATCCTTTATATAAATAAATAAGATCACTAAATTAATATACCACTTACATTATCTGAAATGTCACCGCACCCGATTCTAGAATACATATTGGTTTCAGATATCCCCTTGTAATGAAAAATTGATGTTAAAGTTTCTTTCCATAATATGCCAATTTGCCCTTCACTTATTAAATGCAAGATGACATAATACCAACTAATGTTAGGTTAATACAAATCCTATACAAACAGCCAAATATATTAAAAAATAAAAAGAATAAACTTCACGTATTTATAATATTTTAAGGTTAATTTGATAAGAAATAATTCATACATTAATAAGTAAAATAATCATTTTCGTTAGATCAATCAATAATTCAAGATTTGTGTATTTAAAAGACGATAAATAATAAAGACGAATTATAAATTTAAATGTCTTGAGTAATCATTTGGGGGTCAGGTCATGAAATAATACTTTAGTTACGACGTAGATGACTTATTTTTAATTGAACGAAAAAGGAATTACACATAAATTGACTTGAATATTCTTACTCATTAAAAAAAAAAAGAAAAAAAAAAATGAGAGATAGAATGTTATTTTTCTAGCAGGGTAAGAAAGATAAAATGTTGATTCGGTTTTAACCAAGTAAAAGGCCCCACTGATGCCGACTCTGTGTCGGCAAATGGCCTTTCTTTGCGTGGCTTCGGACAATGGACATTCAAGAAAAAGACGCTTTGGACGGTTTGGCTTGATCACAACGAGAAAATTCTCAACTCTTTTCGTCATTAAAGCTTCTAATCGCACACCCATTACAAAATCCACTGTTCTATCCACTGCAAAACCCCACATAAATAGCTGAAATCGCCATTATTTCATACCCACAAACTCTCGCTTTCGTGTTAATCCTTTATTCTGCTCACTGTAGCTTAATTCCGCTTCAAATCTTGGATCAGAACGACAAAAACTTACTGTAATTTTCGCCGTTAAAGCCTCTAATTACACACCTACTACAAAATCCACTGTATTATCTGATCCACAACCCCACAAACATAGCTAGAAAACGCCATTAATTCATGCCCAGAAGTTTCACTGTTTTGTTCGTCTTCCAAGCTTCTCACTGTAGCTTGAACTTAAATCTTGAAACTTGAAATGTCGTTCGTTTTGGGTCTGGTTATCGGAATCACTGTGGGCTTGGCACTCATAGTGGGATTTGTTAAGTCCGAAAATGCACGATCCAAACGGCGTTCTGACCTAGTAAGCAAGTTCTTGCTCATGTGATGATTTTGCTTTGTCCAGACCGATTTTATTTCTTTTATTTTTTACTGGGTTTATGCGGTGTGATTTTTGAAGGCGACTGGGATCGCGGCGTTTGCGAGGATGACAGTGGAGGATTCGAGGAAGATTCTTGCGCCTGAGTACTATCCGTCTTGGGTGGTTTTCTCACAGCGACAGAAGTTGAGTATTCTCTCTCTCTCTCTCTCTCTCTCTCTACAGATGTTGCTATATTGTACTGAACGACTCAGCAAAGTCTTGTCCCGGGTTGTCTGGGTTCATATTGGATTCTTATTCATTTGATAATAGTTTACATGACCCCCTCCTTTATCCAAGCTTGGGTGCGAGTGGGGTATTGGCTTTGTAAAATGGAAAATCACTAATTATGATAGGCCCAGGTTTTAGATTTTGTTAATTGTGTAGTATTTGTATGGGGACCAATATTGATGTCTTAGGCTTGTATTTTTCAGTTGACATGGCTTAATCTTCAGCTTGAAAAGATCTGGCCCTATGTTAATGAGGTCAGAGTCAAACTTGACCTTCGAATTCCATTTTAGTGGGTTTTGTTGTTTGTTTTGTTTTGATGCTATTGAATATGACTCTTCCACATCCCCAATCAATTTGATGTTTTAGGCAGCATCTGAGCTTATAAAGACCAATATGGAGCCAATTCTTGAGCAATATAAACCGGTAATATTGGCTTCTATGAAGTTTTCCAAGTTAACTCTTGGTACCGTTGCTCCACAATTTACAGGTTAGACAATTAGTTGCTGAGTGTTCCAAATATTTGATACATTGATTGCAACGTAACAAAAATTTACAAAAAGGACTATTGCTTAATTCTGTGACACTTAGTGACTTCTGGTGTGGTAAGATGTATGATATATAACATCGGTGTAATTAAGGATCATTACTCCATGCAGTGGTAACATTCTCCGTTACCACTTAACAACCATAAGATTTTTAGTTTGAATCGAAGCGTGACTACATTGTGAATATAATTGGGGATCGAACAAGTTAATGAACGATTGAGTCCGATCATACCATCACTAATGCACCGGATTCCATCAGAACTTCTTAGTTAAGCGTGCTTGAGCGAGATTAGTACTAGGATGGGTGACCCCAGGGTAGGCCTTATGTTGCACCCCTTTTACGAAAAAAAAGAAAAAGAACTAGGTAATGAACAAGTAATTGGGTATAATTACGTTTTCTTATTTTTTTGTTTCTTGTTATCTTTGTTAACGAGTGTTGCAAAGCTTGATAGAATGAGAAGACGAAGATTGAAGGAAGAAATTCTAGATGGATGATATTGTGTGGATTGCTTGGTGTAGCTTGTAGGCTGTGAAGAGGAGTGAAGTCGAAAGGGATTAGAGAATTTCAAATGCCAAAGGTGAAGAGAAGAGAGGTACAAAGAGAAGAGGATCTCATTGTTTCGTAGAAAAAAGAATCTTTACCAACCAATTCGTCTAGCCTATGATTTCTTTTTGGACACGGGAGTTAGACTTATCACTTATGTCATGTTTCAGTGGTCTTGTCTCTTGGCATGTTTAGTGTTTCTTGGGGCTCGCTAAATTTTGTGAACTGGGAAAAAGTTATATCTGCCAAATTGGCTCAAGCAACCCCTTCCTTCTACATGGGTGTCTGCTGTAAAGTTCTTTCTCTCTCTCTCTCAGCATAATCGAGGACATTGAAGCCAAGGTAGCAATCATATTGTGTCAAGTGAGTTTATGTCATGTAAAAGTATTAGTACTCCAATAAATGGGTCAACCCAAAATGACACAATTAACTAATTGCTTCCAAATTTCTAACTTTATCATGACTTGTTCGTTAAACAGGTGACAGAGAAAACCTGTGTAGCTTGTTTAATAAAAACTGGTTAGATAGGTTCCACGGGTTATAGGACTGTCGTGTGTCATATTTGTTTTGCTGGTCACATTCGTTTTTGTGTCATAAACATGTCGAGTGGATTATTGTTCAAAACCCAACCACGATTATTCGTGTCAACCCATTTACAACGAGAACACCAGTATCTTCAATCCATGCAGGTTCAAGTGGTGGTAACCTATCGTATTGAAAATTGCCAACGTGAATTGAAGAAAAGAACAATAAAATGCTATAATTTCACGAAGGACCATGGCAATGTCTTTTTTTTGATAGGACAAGTACTATGACAATATCAAGCTTCACTTGATTACTATTTAAACATATTAATGTACATAATTATGTTTAATTTAATTTATGTACATACTATTTAATTTATGGGTAAATGGAAGAATTCAACTTCATAATTATGTTTAAGAATGCGAATGTAAATCTAAGAATCGAGTACCTACGCCATTTTTTATCATTCACATAGCTTCTGACAAAATTTACAAAACAGACTAAATTCTGTCCCTGACAAGCTGAAGATATCACATCTGATATAATTTGATTAATTGGGATGTTCATTCTGACTGCTATGGTTCTTCAGGAGTTTCCATCATTGAAGATGGAAGTGATGGTATTACTATGGAGTTAGAGATGCAGTGGGATGGGAATCCAAGTATAATACTTGATATCAAGACTTACCTTGGCGTGGCATTACCTGTGCAGGTAAGATAAACTTTTGCTGACTGCTTGCAACAGGTTGAGTTGATAATGCTTCATATCCAGAGATGATCAGTTATGATTTCTCCACTGGATTTTCTTACCCTATATCAAATTCCAAATGTGTGGCATGTTATTAGTACTTTTAATGTTGTGTTGTCCTTTTATTTGATGCTAATTTTCTGCTATGTACTTTTCATTTCATTAATAGAAGTGCTGTTTTGTGCTGAAGTACAACTGCATAACAGAAAGTGGTCACTTTTCTCCACTGTTCAATCCTCTTGTTCGTTTTTCTTACTATAAATGCAGCCTATGAATTCATTTGTTGCAGCAATTTATATCTGGAAAGCAATTCTAGTTGGATAATCATCTCTTTGAGGTCCGCTACATCAAGGCAGAAAAAAGGGGGGTGGGGGGTACACTTGCCCCTTCTTGCCTTTAGGTTGATAAAAAGATAATGCCCCTCTTCAATCATACATTTGCCCCCCTTGATTTTTGAAATTTTATATAGTTACCCTAGTCTTTTCGTTTTAGTAACTTAGAGGTCCACTGCTAGCTCCTTAACCCAGTGAAATATATAATTTTTTTTAGATGTGTAAAATAAATGTGAAATGTCCTAACTCTTATGTGCCTTGATCAAAGATACTGCTTCTCTTTTACATAATATACAATCCCTATTTTTTTACAAACATTGTATAGTTGTCCCCAACTCTTTCAATTAGCTAGTGGCCGTAACACAATTAAACAATTTTTTTTTTTATCTATTTTTTTCAAATTAATGATGCACAAAAGTGGATTTATGCACCACCTTTCAAATATTTAATGCAGTAATGAATAATGAGAGTCAACATAAGTAAAATATAATTTAAGTGATTCGGTCAAGGTGACCTACTCCACTGTGAAGGGGTAGGATAGCCTAAATATTTTATTGCTTTAAGGAGTGTAGGGTTCTCAATTATGAGTGATATGTGGGAGATTCCTCCCTTGTGTAGGTGGGGCTTATAATTTATAGGCACTTTTTAACAAACTGAGGTGCTTTTCTCGTATCAAATGAGGTAGTTTGGTGGAGGTGGCGCTCTTCTCGTAACATGTGAGACAATTCCGTAAAGGTGGTGACGTGTGCATCCCAAGGAGACCTTTTCGCTTGTCAGTTATGGACTGAGTCTCTTACCATGAGGCGGCTGACCTGATTCTCTCTTAATATGGCTCAGTTGACCTAGCTTCTTCCTTCTTACGGTGGGCCTAGCCTACATTCCTAATTTGGGCCTCTGAATTGGGTCTCATCTGTGTTTTGGGCCTGGTGTGGGTCGGACCATCACAAATAATTTTTGAATAAGATGAGGATGATCTTAATTAGTTTTCGCACGAAAATAAAGGATGATTCTGTCATGAACTACCTGATTGTATACATTGAAAGGAAGCTGATGAGATATTTATCATTGTGCCAATTATAGATGATTTATGGAACTTGAAAGAATATTGTTTTCCTTTTTGACATCATAGTGAGATAAGTTTTATTTATCACATAATAATTTAGTCTTGAATATTAATATATTTCTAATGCCTAAACTTAGAATCTTTTTTACATAGGCTGGTAATATTTCTTATTCATGTGTTGCCTCCTCTAAGGTCGAAGCCTGGCTCTGCCCTTGCATCGGATGATATGTTTTGTTCATCAACTGTGTATTACGGTATTGAGCTTGACTTCTAGAATGATTCCGATGGTCATGATTCTTTTGTGTATAGGTGAAGAATATTGGGTTTACGGGGGTTTTCCGGTTAATCTTTAAGCCGCTAGTGGAAGAGTTTCCTTGCTTTGGAGCTGTCTGTTTTTCATTGAGACAGAAGGTACAATACTCATTTCTTGTTTGAAGCCATTCTTATGAGATTTTAGATGCAGAAAAGTCGTTTGCACATGAAAGCTCAAAAAAAGTCTGAAAGAATAGACCATTTGCACATATATATAGACTAGGGTTCACCGGCAAATGTGCAATTTTTCTTTTAGCCAAGTGTGATCTCTTGTTTTACTGTGGTTACAATGTAAGTAGGTGGTTTTACTGTGGTTATAATATAAGTGGGTAAATTTATTGTGGTTAAAATATAAGTGCGGTTAAAATATTTTCAATGCGTGGTTAAAATATTTACTGTGGTTAACATGTAAATTGTAAGATAAGCCGTTGGATCTAAACGATCTAAGCCATTCGAGCCATTGTTGTGTTTTATGGTAAATACCCTTCTTTTTTATGCCCATATGGATAGACATATATTTATTTGTTTATACCCACTCCTTGGAATGTCATGCCATTTTTTTTGGGCTGAACCCTAAATTGACTTCAGCAATTTGTATAAATTCGCTGTTTTCTTATTAGTTTGTTATATCATCTCATTATAATAATGGATTAAGAATGGATATAGCCCTTCTTACTGAATTACGCTGACAGAAACAATTGTTTTTGGTAGATGATAGTTTTAATGAGTATGGCCGATCAGTCATGCTTCTGACAGGTTTTCTGTTCTGTGTAACTGTGTATAATTTCCCCCTTAGGTAATTTTTGGGGTTTTATTTGGTTTTTTTTTTGGTGAGGTGCTGGGATTTTTTCTGATTTTGTATATCCAACATTTTTTGCACTTAAATATTGTTGATCTTGGATTGTGTATGATTTTGATGTTGGCTTCTATTTCTTTTTTGAGTTGCACTAATTTTGACTTGAAGCTGGAAATGTCTTTCCATCTGAGCTTTATGCTACATCGCTCTCTATCGGTATATATATGCACACACAAAAATCTCTTTCTATATACACTCACATACGTACAAATGGTTGCAGAAAAAGCTGGATTTTACGCTTAAGGTAGTTGGTGGCGACATATCAGCAATACCTGGCATTTCTGATGCTATCGAGGTTTGAAAAAATTCCATTGTCTGGTTATGTTTCTCTCTTTCAATTTCTCTAGCTGTTTCAGCTCAATGTGACATGATAATTCTAATGTGTATTTTGCATTTATGATAGCTGATTGCATTGCATGCATAGCATTTGGTGAAAATTCCACCTTGGTATTGAAGCCTCTTTGTATTACTTTTGGATACTGCCAATACAGACACTAAATGTAATATTTGTGAACTTGTCAAAGAACTGATATGCTAAGATGGCATTCATAGGAATTCACTATTTCCTTTAGCTCAATGATATTATGAGTTATGAATTTCGGCTTTTGATTCAATATCTTTATCAATATGGAACTTCATATCTACATGTGGATAAGGGTCTCACTGACTTATTTATCTGTGCACATAAATTTTCTAGGCCAAAACTTGAAGAGGTTATGACTGCTATCAGGAAATCAGCGCAGAAAAAAAAAAAAAAAAAAGAAGTCAGAAGGAGTATTTTTGAGGTTTTAAGATATCCTGTTCCTAGTTATTCCTGCAAAATAAAACTAAAGGGATTGCAACTCCGCAAGACCAAATTTCACATGGAGTTAAAAACTAAATTTTTTGAGTGTAATTTCATTGAAAGGTCGAGGGTAAACGTAAAACAACCTATAATGTCATTGTCAAGGTCTTGAA